ACCCAAATAAGACAACAGGGATAAACATACACCCGAAGAAAAAAACAGCACTATTGGGGGGGGCGTTTAATGTTAGGGGGAAAGGATTATGAGCCCTATAACCGCATATGCCCAAGCCTGAGCCTGCGCTGTATCAAAGCCTGTAAAACCCTATAAACCCAGTAAAACCTAAACCTGCCAAAACATCCAATAAACCGCTATACAACCGACAAGAGCTAATCTAGGGGCGTTTGATAGTCACAATATAAACACATGAAGGAACCCCAAGGAACAGTTTTGGAAGTGCTTCACGCCTCGAAGTTAGACCCTGTTGAACCCTATAAAACCCCTAGAAAAGCCTTATGAACCCCCATAACACCCTTAAAGGAAACCTTTAGCCTATAACACCCTTACTTAACCCCGGAAAGACCTTTCTAAACCCCATACAAAACACTTACCTAGCCCCCACCGGAACCGGCGCTTCGCGGCCTGCTATCCGAGAACTTCGCGCAGAGCCGCATCTTCTCGGGGTTCATGGTGTAGTGGCCGGGCCCCTGGCTAGTCGGAGGGCCTCTTTGGGTTTAGGGCTTAGGGTTTAGGGCTTAGGGTTTAGGGCTTAGGGTTTAGGGTTTAGGGTTTAGGGGCCAGTCGGGGCGAGGTAAGGGCTTCATGTCGGGCTGTACAAGCATGCTTGTTGGGTATTACAAGGGCTTTCTAGGGTGTAAGGGCCGGGCCCCAGTGGTTTGTTTGGCTTTATAAGGGGGCACTTGTTGGGTATTGCAAGCTTTTTGTCAGGTGTTACCGGGGTGTTACAGAGATTGAAAAAGCTCAACGGGGTTGCCAGACTTGGATCTTAAGGCTGTGAGTTCATGGGGCGCGGCCGTGCCTCCGAAGTCATATGCCTCATGGGTTAAGGGTTTGAAGGGACCCTAAACCCTCAACATTTCTGTTCTCATCATTCTTGTTGCTGCCGTGATTACTATTCTTGTGATGGTTGGTATTCAAGGAATGCTGATTCTTATTTGTTTTCGAGGTTCTTGTTGCGATGTGTATTGTCGTCGTGATTGCGATTTAAAGAGGAGTATTGGGGTTCAGGGACGTAGAGATTGGGGTTCAGGCTAAAAGTTTTAGGGTTTACGGACTGAGTAAGTGCTGTTAAACATCATGTAGCGATAGCTGCTTCAGCCATATGGGAGTTTCTGAAAAATGCGGGGGTATCTTATTTTGGGGGCCTTAAAATCAGGATCCTACTATTTAGGGTGCTATATTAGGGTCCCCTATTTTCGGAAACTCCATATCTTTAACACTTCTTATTTCACATCCATGGTCAAACAGCTCTTCGTCATAAGCTGGAGCTTGGTTGGGCCCTGAAGGCCCTGAACCCCTGAACCCCTAAACCCTAAACCCCATATCCCCAAAACCCTAAACCTCTAAACACCTTAAACCCCCCCAAAGCCCTAACCCTAAACCCTAAACCCAAAAAAAAGCTATAGCCCCTAAACCCATATCTCTCGGCAGCGCTGACGACCGCAAGCGCGAGCGCTCGCAAGTTGCATGCATGACGCCGCGGAATTCTTCTTTCGGATGTCTTGAGCTAGGGCTTATGAAGTTTATGGGGTTTGGGGCTTATGGTGATAGGTTTGTAGGGCTTCAGGGTTCTTTGGCTGTTGGAGCTTCGTTTTTTCAGGGCTTAGCGTTTCAGGGTTTAGGGCTTTCGGGCTTTCGGAGTTGGGCTTAAGGGCACATGCCCGCCATCGCGATCCTGAACTCGAGCTGTGCCTCTGCCCTTTAGGGAGGGTGGGTTTAAGGTCTAGGGTTCAGGGCTTGGCATGCAAAGTCTGGGCTTCCGGGCTCGAAACTCGAAAAGCCCAGTCATCAAACCCGAATGTGTCCATTGTAAGCATCCTTATCCACTCCTCTAGAAAACCCTTAACCCTCTAGGCCCTGAACACGAAGCCACAGAGCACACTAAACCCAAAGCCCCAAACCCTAAAGCCCTAAACCTCGAAACCCCTAAAGCCCTAAACCACCAAACCTTTAAATCCCCAAACCCCCAAACCCTGAACCTCTACAATCCCTGAACCTCTAAACCCTAAACCTCTAAATCCTAAACCTTCGCAAACCGCCACCTTCACGGATGCTGCCGCCCAGTTGTACCTCCGGCCTCGGCACGCCGGGAAGCCCCAAGAGCGACAGTTCAGGGATGTTTGGATTTGGGGAGTTTAGGGGGTTTTGGTGTCTAGGGGTTTAGGAGTTTAGGGTTTTGGGGGTTTAGGGGCTTTAGGGCTTTTGGGGTTTAGAGTTTAGAGTTTAAGGTTTGGAGTTGAGGGTTTGGGGTTTGGGGTTTGGGGTTTGAAGTTTCTTCGAGGGCCTCTTTCCGCAGGCTTTAGGGTTTACGGAGAAGAAGAAAAACGGTGTAGGGTTAAGGGAACGAAAACATAATGCCATAATATTGCAAAGCACAGCCATCATTGGTAAGAGGGGTCGGGATAGCGACTGCCAAAACATGACGAAGCCTGAGGCGTTCAGAGCTTTCCTATATTGCACCCGAAACCTCAAAACCCTCAAACCTCACAAACCCAAACGAAATCAAAAGCTCGAATCCCTCAACCCCAAACACCCAAAACCGTGAACTCCAAATCTCTCCCAAAAAAACGTCCCAAATCAATTGGAGACCAAAACTCACCAATTCCCAAAACGCCTCATGGAAACCCACTAACCCTGGCTTTGGGCCAAAGGGCGCTGATACTTGCTGATAGGCGAGTTCTGGAGCTCTGGAATGTCCCGGATCTGGTGGAGCGGGAAGGGAGCGCTTTGGCTTTAGGGTTTAGGGTGTAGAGTTTAGGGTTTAGGGCAATATAGGCGCCTGAAAATATTAGAGTAAGGCTTCGGATATATTGGAACTAACGTTCGCAACCGCAAGGAATGTCACTGATAATGCTGGCGGTTGGGTATTGTTGTTTAAGATTTGAGGGTTTTGTTGTCGGGGGGCATGGCTTACGACCGAGCGCGCGCCTTCGCCTGACACCCCCTAAAACCCTAAACCCCTAAATTAACCCCTAAACCCGGAAACCCAAACCCCAAACCCTAAAACCCTAAACCCTAAAAGGCCCTCAACCCTAAACCCCTAAACCCCTAAACCCTAAACCCCAAACCTTTTCCAAGGGCCCCCGCCTCCTGGCTCTGCTTGTCTTTGCAGAGCTGGGGCTGCGCTTGCTCGAGATCCTGCGCAGAAGGTTCGGGTTTAGGGGTTAGGGTTTAGGGTTTAGGGTTCAGCAGCTCTGGTCGAGCGGTTTTAAAGTAGAGTTGTATTTACGGTTTTGATATAACACCCACCCACCCTAGAATCCCATAACATTGAGCAATATAAAGTTCCTTCATCATCATTCAAAGAACCATTAGGAAAATACAACGGCGCATATTCCTCACACAGCTGATTTATTTTTTTTAAGGTTGTCGAGCTTAGACTTAGGAACAGAATCAGGATATAGGTGGTGTTTACACTACTTGTTTTGCTTCTCCAAAATCCAGTGGAATCCCCTCAAAATAAGACATAAAAACTATGCTCGATCACAGTTCCGCCAGATTTTGCCAGCAGATGTGTGAAATCCCTAGCCCTTGTTTTAACGCGGTATTTACAGGCTTTCTGCTCGATCTCAGATCACTTCCGCCAGATTTTGCCAGCAGATGTGTGAAATCCCTAGCCCTTGTTTTAACGCGGTATTTACAGGCTTTCTGCTCGATCACAGATCACTTCCGCCAGATTTTGCCAGCAGATCTGTGAAATCCCTAGCCTTTGTTTTATCGCGGTATTTACAGGCTTTCTGCTCGATCTCAGATCACTTCCGCCAGATTTTGCCAGCAGATGTGTGAAATCCCTAGCCCTTGTTTTAATGGGGTATTTACAGGCTTTCTGCTCGATCTCAGATCACTTCCACCAGATTTTGCCAGCAGATGTCTGAAATCCCTAGCCCTTGTTTTAATGCGGTATTTACACGCTTTCAATGTGTGAAATCCCTAGCCTTTGTTTTAACGCGGTATTTACAAGCTTTCTCTTACTGGCTGAAAGGCCCGGGCGATAAAAGTTGAAACTTTTATACCGGAAACTAAGCATCTACAGCACATCATGGCGACGTCCAACACTTCTTTCCACGCATCACTTGCTCGATTCCAGGTGAGAATGATGTTGTGTTGTGGCTTCGATGCTTCAGGCTTTAGCTTGTGATTTGTCAGGCGATGTTGTGTTGTGGCTTCGATGCTTCAGGCTTCAGGCTTCCTTCGTCTTGCGATCCGTCAGGCACTCACTCTGCCGCCGGGGTCAAACCTCAGCGGTCGGAAGGCGCCGCAGCCAAGCAGGAAAGTGGCAAAGCCGATGCAAGCACAACTTCTCAGACAGATCTGCGACGGAACTTTTTTCGTCTCCCCGGCTCCACCCCAATCTCATCAGTCATCTACAAGCGAGTTTCCGTGGAAGCAGCCGAGATCACATAGAAAGATGTGTTTGAGGATAATGTTGTCGCCACTGCAGGATGGATATCAGACGTGAAATTCGGACTGCTTCACTTCAGGAAACATCCCCGAGGCGCTCAAGGCAGCCCCACCCCTGGCTTTCAGGCCGTGTAGGCAGAGCACGACTGCCTAGGATTCATTCAGAAAGAGAGCAAGAAGGGAACCCACAGCAAAGGGACAGCAGTGCGACTCGGCGGCATTGCTGTCGCAGCAAACCACACATCTTTGGTACCTAGGATCACTGAGAACGTAAGGGCAGGAATCAAGAGAAATAACAATTGCAGCAAGGTTCCTGACGAATCAGTCGGAGCCGGTGCACGCCGACCACTTGTCAAGCACTCGATGGCTGTGTGGAAGTGCCTGACCAAGACAAGTATCAAGTTAGATTGGACAAGATGAAAATATGGCCTTGGCATCGTTGCTCAGTCGTTCAGGCAGCATCGGGCGGTATCAGGTGTCAGTCCACTTCGTGCCTGAGTAGAGAACTGCATGTACATGTGCAAAGTCATGACCTATAGCTTGTGTGCGAATACCAACGAAAAAAGAGCCGTGTTGCTGGCAGCGATGAACTCCGCCACTGTCATCAGACAGCCCGGATGCCTCTGCTTCTTCTTCCTGTACTTCTCAGCCGTCTCACCGTCGACTATGACAGAACACTTCTTGCAGGTAACATCTCGCCATCTCTTGCGACGTGTCCATGAAATTGTAATGTCAGCCCTCTCCGCGGCATCGAGAACAGCACCCAGCATCCGAGTGGCGGGCAAAGCAGAGTCGTCAGACATACAGGAGCTATGCAAGCACAGCTCCTGTGTCGTCGTCAAGCTGCTTTTCAGGCATGTCAAGGCTGGCAAGAGACGGCCCTCATCCATGCATGCCTGCACCCATTGTCGACCGCAAAAACCGCCTCCCAAGTGGCGAGCAACAGCCGAGCAAGCACTCTCAGACGGCTTGAAGATGAAGTCACGCTCGACCTCGTCAGACAAGCAGACCCAGTAGAGGAGTCGATGACTGCCGCAGTCCTCAGATGTATGACGAAGCAGATCGTAAACCAAATTTCTTTGGTCTTCGATCGACTCAGGCCAAGCACGAGCATTGCCCAGTCGTTCAAGATCAGGCAGGCCCGGTGTCTTGCTGGAGTCATGGCCATGCACCACCATGATCAAACGGTCGCGGTCGGCCGCAAGGACATCAGACCGCACGGCTGAAAGTCTGGCCACGCCGATCTTCTTCAGCTTCTCGAAGCGTTTTTCAGCCTCCCGCTCTTTTTCTATCAGGCGGCCAGCAGCGGCTGCTTCGGACGAAGCATCAAGTGTCGCCCATTCCTCCTTCTTGGTCTTGTACTTTTGCATGGCGGCAGTCAGGCTAACTTGCTTGTCAGTCCTGCGACGTTTGGCTGATTCGCCGGCTTCAGCCTCCAAAGTAGCGAGGTCTTCAGGCTGAGACTCCGCCGGCGCCTGTTGCAAGAGTTGCTGCTGCTCCAGCCCTCGCTGTCGCTTCAAGCCAGCTCTTGAAAGCGGGTTCAGGCGGCCGTTCAGAACCCGACGACCCAGTGAGCTGCGGCATCCTTGCGAGCCGCCGCTCGGAGCAAACAGGCGACGGTATTCTTGCAGCAGTTTCAGGCACGGCTTTCTCGGGAGGATGCTGTGGGGCTCGCGACAGACGAGTTGGTCGGCTGTCGGCCCGTCGAGGCGGACCTTCATTAATGACCTGGCACTTCGACAGAGACTGAGAGCAGAAGATTTTCAAATTTCTGGTCCCATGCAGGACGACAAGATGGACTTGACATGAGCCGAGTTGCCGAAGGTGTCCCCGCGAAGTCTTGCCCTTTCTCCCCTCAGAGAACTGCTGCAGCCAGCTGAAATTCTGCTCAATCTCGCCGGTGCTCGGGAAGCAACTCAGGACGAGGGCAGCCTCAGGACAGAATGGCTTTCGTCGTCTCACGTTTAATCCCACAGCTCAAAGACACTGAGCTAGGCAGGTAAGGAGCCGCTTCAGACAAAGCCGGGAGTTTGTCAGACCAATGCCGCATGGTCCTGGACCAGATCTCATTCAAATCCTCGCCTCCGGTCCTCAGTCATGCACTGTTCGTCTTGGAGTGAAGGGCCTCCGAAGAAAAGACTTGTCGCCGGGAGGCTGTGACTTCACCAGCAAGGCTGTAGGACGTGCCAAGAGGAACTCTTTGGCCAGCTGTGTCACCTGAGCGGTTGAACATCACAGCCTCGGTCCCGCTGAAGCGGTGTGGGCTCCAGACCTCCACCTGTGCAGCCTCTGCTAGCGGCTTGAAGATGTCAGGCCTTGGCATCGGATGTTAGTAGCGGTGATTATTACAGGAGCAGAATCGCACAGAAGATCATGGATCCTGTGGCTCTGGCAAAGCTTCGTCGCTGCACAGGGTATGGTTGACATCAAACGGAGAAAGCGATGCCTGGACGCCAACCTCCACATCGGCTTTCAGGCCTTGAACAAAAAGCTGAGCGATGTTGCGAATGGCACCGAGTTCTTTGGCCACGAAGGAACGTATCTTGTTCCTGTTGGCGCCGCTGTGCCAGAAGATCATCTTTTGCTTTACAACCAGGCACTTGTTCTGCTCAAGCTTTAGAGTCGCCTGCAGTCTTTGTACGTAGCCATGTGCATAGGCATCATCCAGAACCAGCGGCTGCTGCAGCTCTCCTGCCGGACTCCGAAAGTCGAAGAGTCGATTGATCAGACGCTCGAGCTGCTGAAGATTGTGGGCTGTCGCAGCCAATCGCAGATGTTGGCCGTCCAGTGAGTGGTTGAATTTCCTTGGATCTCTTGCCAGAGAAGACTTGCAAACAAGACTGATTCCTGCAGTCGCGGCTCGCAGCGGCACAGGCAAGCTCCGCGATCAAGCCAAGTTGGAGGAGCTTCTCCGGCTGAAAGCATTGTTGAAGAAGCTTAGCAAAGGCCTCGCCATCCACGGGGACTCATGAACGAGCACGATCAGTTGAGTGGCCTGACAGTGCATCATCCACCGCTGCGAGATGGCTCAGGACATTGCAGACCGCATCTATGTTCTCAGCCACGTTGACGCAAGCATCGCAGACGGTGTTGAAACGTTGGGGTGCAAAGCCGAAGTGGCACAATCGCCTCAGGCTTTCGTCCACACCCTCAAGCTGCTTCTCTGCCGTCAGCCGCTGGAGCTTCAGCGAGTTTCGCACAGCCCTGCAAAATCCTCCTGAATTTGTCCCACTGCCATCGGAAAATCCAAGCACCCAGCTCTGGAGAAGACCCTGCACATCCGGGTCAGACGACAAGGCCTTTTCGAGCGACCTTTGTCCACTATGGACGGAGCATCTCATAATCGCCTTCAATCCCGGCAGGGTTCCCTGGACCTCATGTGAAGGTGCGGTCCTTCAAACATTCAATATGCTGTTCTTGAAATCCGCAGAAACTGCAAGCGAGGCACTTTACTCAGCCGTGCCGCCAGAGGCTCGCTAAATTCCCCGTCGGCCATAAAGATGCGGATCTTGTCTTTGAAAGCATTCCGGAGGGCTTCCTCCGGCAAGAAGCTGGCCAGGGTGTCAGGCAGCGATCTGGCTTTCTCCAGTGCGGCCTCGGCTGGCAGGGCTACTGTACTGGAACCCGATCTGCCCTGGCTCACGTGCTGCCCAGCCTTCTCAGCAATGGCCAGGTCTAGCATGCGGCAATGAACGGACCAGTCGGCCATGACGTACCGCACCTTCAAAAGCTCGAAGCCGCCTCTTGCATCCTGCAACACACGACGCACAGCACATACTACTGTTGGCATTCGGCTCCTCAGCCAAGGCCACTGCCCGAACGGGTTGCTGCAGGCGACGGCGGTCCACGTTGAAGGCGGCCTCAGCCGCAGCCTCCATGATGTTGTAAAACATTCCTCGGGACGAACGCCCCGTTGGCCATAAAGTCGGATTTGTGCGATTGTTGCTCAGACACCGCCTCTGGTATTCGTGCCCGGAACCTCCAGCAAGTAGAACTTCCAGTGCCGTCAAGCATTGGGCGGCAGTGGGGCCGCCACTATCAGACGAGACCAGCCGTTTCACGGTTGTCTTATCTTCGTCCACCCCCTGGCCTTCATCGTGGCCCTCAGCCTTGTCCTCAGACAGGAAACGTAGAGCCTGCTGGTGGAAAAGGCTTTTCTGGGCATTCCGCTTCGACTTCAGGCCGCCGTGCCGAAGCATGTCCTCTATTTGAAGAGCAGCCGGTCTGCCGCCACACCTGACATGAAGCACGAAAAAAGAAAACCTCAAGCACACCATGCACCGCTGTCAATGCCACGCCATTCGCGATCCCAGGCACCGAAGTCCAGCACCAACGCTGCATTCGATCCAAGGTCGACTACGCAGTGGCACGCATTCCTTGCCGCCGAGGGCTGCGGCATACTCACGGCAGACTGAGCACCCGATGCCGAACTTCGTCCCCGGATCAGACCGGATCAGCCATGACCTGGTCGAACCTGGCATGACAGACTCGCTCGTCCTGTCGTACCGCCTCCGCAAGATTCCCGCCTTTGATGGTGTAGGTACACCGCTGTTTCCAGTCCGCAGCATGTGCTATCCACCGGCACTCGTTGCAATTCTTTTTGCCTTCCTCAGTCAAGACACATTTCAAAAGAAAGAATTCACTGCAGGAACATGGCGAGGCAGGCACACATGGTCAGAAGGCAAGTCGCGGTGCATCGCCGCAAATGCTTCTCTTCGGCAATACGCTCGGCCATTGTTGCCCTAGGAGGCCCTGTGAACTATTGTCACGACTGTCGCATGTGCACGCCGCATACATTGGCATCGGACTTGCTATGCTTCTACTGATGTCATGCCTCTCAGTCTCTACAACCGTCCTAAGGACCAAGCCTACACGGCCTCTGCATCGGATTTGTTATGCAGCTCATGATACTCATGATGACATGCCTCTGCCTTAGGCTGCCTTGTCAGACTCAGCGATGCAACAGACTTTCGGCGGCACGACTGCTAATCGTCTCTCTGCAGGGCGAGACTAGAAACTTGCCCAAGCCCCATGCTTCAGGCGGCTTCAGACTGGGCCTTGAATCCTGTGCGATTGCATGCACAACGGCTCAGTCACGTTTGTTCTTCTTCTCCTTCTTCTCCTTCTTGGACCTCTTAGTCACAGGCTCCACCTGCCCAGGACAACAAAAGCATTTCTCCCGCAGAAGTGTCCCCAAGCTTGCCTCCTGGTTGCAGTGTGGGCAATAGTAAGTCCGCTTCGAGCCCTGTCGCACAGGCACAGTCTTCTTCACGTGTTTGAGGTAGATCTGTCCTCAGGCAGGAAGATTCAGCAAGAGACACAAGGTTTCAGGCTTTGCAACCAGTTCGGCCAGGGGGCTGGCGATGTCCATCACATGGCCACGGGTGAGGAGGGTCGGCTTGGAGAGCTTGCCGCCATATTCCGCAGCGAACCCCATGCATTCCAGGTCCTTCTTGTTCTCAGGCGACACATGATCTTCTGCTGCCTGGATGATATTCCTTCCCAAGAGGTACACACGACCTCTTGCTGCACGAGGGCACACAAAGGCCATATGGCCTGGGAGGGTGGCGACCTTTGCACGTTTCAAGTAAGAGTTTGACTGACGAGTGTCTATTATGTATTTTCGCCCTTGCAGGTGTAAATGCTAGAAAGCGGCCTTGTGGAAGAAGCCAGCATCGAAAATTCCTTTGCTCTCGGCTACCCGATGATACCACAGGCCGACACGCTCGTCAGCCTTCTCAGGCGAAGGTGGACTCCCGCAGGGGAACAAGACCACGTCATGCTTGTCAGACCAGCCTCATACGGGGGCGACAGGGGACTGAAACACAGCCGGTCGCTTGCAACTCCAGCCTGCCATTTGCACCTGGTTCGGCGGGTCAAACAGTATATCCAACGTCGTGATCTTGCTCCTTGGAGGAGGCAGTTGAAATCACTGAGCCGGTCATCTGTCTGTGTATCGTCCGGACTTGCATGTCTAGTTGCTCTGGTGCCGACTGCATCATGAATTTCAAGAGGTCCCGCATGCCGCTGTGGTGCTGCACGGCCAACCCCTTCACTTTGAAACCCCCTTTGATCTTCACCAATCCATACGTGGACTTCGTGGCCGGGGTCTTGCCCTTCTTCTGCATCAGGACACTCACAAAATTATCCACCTGCTCGAAAGAAGCAAAGTCGATGTCGTGTAATGGGAGGCTAATTCAGGTCCCGGGCCCGAGCAATGGCCGCAGCAGTCGCTGCATTCGCGATTTCAGACGCTCCTCATCAAGGAAACATGGAAGACAGCATAATTCATAGTCATGAAGAGCAGCCCGAGAAGAACCATCACTCCAGTTACACAGATTTTGCTGCCTGAGCCCGCCATGCCAAAAATGCAGCCCGGGCTGTGCACACTGGGATCTAGCACTCGGAGCCCGAACTGCAACTTTCGTATGCTTCCCGGCAAACAATCCAAGGGCATCCGACAAGACGGTGCAAGAGACTGAGATGGTGACTGACTGCACTGCTCCCGCAATGCTGATCCAGACCTACAGTCAGCAGCAGAGGTCAAGGCTGCCGTGCCTTGAAGTATCAAGCAAAGCTGGGGCTCCTGCTTCACATCTCGCTGCACGCAACGGAACCTGTCCAGGCCGTCATTGTCATTGCAGCACACGATCACACCGACACACACACACACACACATGCAGAGGCCAGCAGAGATGCACACGTCTGCCAACGTCGCTCTGCATGTTTTACTGTGCTTGCAATGCTTCGCGAATCACCGCAGGCCATGCTCCTCTGCAAGCTGCTGGCAAGACCGGCGTTTTTGGAGCACCGGCTCGGCCATCGCAAGCCACATCAGACGGACTTCCTCGGCAACCTCCCGACTGGCATTGCTCAGTCTGAGGACACACCGTGCTTTCTTGTCAGGCGGGCCCGGGTTACAGGCATGAAACAATTCCAACAAACTTTCCGTTGCCTTCCAGGAGCTCATATGAAACAAGGCCTTTTTGGTAGCTGCCTGGTGAACCGTCATGGCCAATGCCCACGCATCGGCCTTCACAGTCAAACGTTGCTTGAGGTTCTTCTCAGACAGGCCCTTGGCAACCTCAGGCGGTCGGTAGGCATAGGTGTACAACTTTGCCCCGTCCTCCACGAAATCCTCTGCCAGTGGAAGCCGGTATGTCATCCCGAAGTCGATTGTCAATGGATCATAAAGAATGTTCTGCGGCTTCACATCACCGTGTATATGCTCAGTCCTCCTGTGCAGGTGGGCCAAGCCGGCGAGCACTTGATGGGTGAGGGCCAACTGCTTCTGAGCATCAAAAGCTCCAACGTTGTGCAAGTAATGCAGGACGGAGCCCGTGGCCACGTAAGGCATGATCATGAAGGAGATCTGGCCGGGAACGAACTCATCCTCAGTCACCACCGACTCTGCGAGCAACGGCAGAAAGGTCTCGTGAGCCAGCTGCTTCAGCAAGGCGACTTCCTCAGACAGGTGGAAATTCGTGTTGCTGACCTTGGCAGCATAGATGCGATGCCGCCCTGTCCAACCCCGGCCTGAGAGCCACAGACGATGTAGTCGCCGAAGTTGATGTCGTCCGGAGCACGGTCAGACAACAGAGGCTCAGGTGCCTCAGGCGGGTCGGTTCGCTGAGTCCGTCGGAGACGAACGCCTGCCTTCTGTGCTGCCTGCCGTTGGTCCGCGAAGTCAAGCCTCGACGCCTCCACGAACTTTTGTCGCTCCTTGCCCTCGAGGTCACGCCATTCAGACGCCGCCAGTCGTGGAGACAGCTTCCTGCTCTGACAAAATAAAGCGAACGGCTTGACGGCCTTCTTCACGACGCCCGCTGCGACTGCCCTCTGCAGCTGGGTCGGCTGCCTCTTCGCAGGCCGCTTCATGGCGGCACTCAGGCACTCAGACTTTTCAAGCTCGTTCCTGACACGTTGTTCATAGTTTTTGCATGCGGTGTGTTTCTGTGGCTTTACAGTGAATGGACCCAGACATGAGTCTATCAACATTGCATGCAGTCGGTTTGGGCTTTGTTTCACGGTTCTCTTGGAAGCTGTGACTCGCTGTACTTCGATCCTGGGTGCAGACGACGTGACGACTAGCAGCCACCACACCTGCGGATATTGAGAGATTTGTGCACCTGCACCATGTTGTTGACAGATCACGTACTAACTTGTGCAATCCTCGGGTGTTTTACCTCGTCTGCCATCCTTAAGTGCAATCTGCTGGGTCCATGTCTCAGACTGGACGTGCAATTCTCCATCAGACTGGACCCAGCTGCATGGAATGTCTGAGCGACGAAATGGCCTTCTACTTTTCTACGTCCTCGCCTGAGCTGCTGTCAGACTCACCAGACGGTGACGAGACATCCGTGGTTTTCACAGGCGGTGGCACCGTCGTTGTCTGAGGCGGGGGCACCGTCGTTGTCTCAGGCGGGGGAACCGGAACCGCTGGCGAGCCAACCGCTGTCGAGACAGGCGGCCTCTCAGGCTCAGCCCTCTGCGGCTCAGGCACGCGGTAGAAACGCTGGTCGTTGGCGTTCTTGACGCGACCAGCCAGCTCCTGCCGGATGATGCTCTGGAGCATCTGCCGTTGTTCAGGCGTCCTCACCACGTTGATGCACGGGACCCGCTGTTCTGCGGCGATGACGCTCAGGCACCCCGACCCCGGAGAAAAGTTCACGACACAGGCAATGGGCGAGACCGTGTGCAGCAGCATCCGGTACACCTGTGGGCTCCTGCCAATTCAATTCACCGGCCCAGACAATGGACTCAAACTTGCGACACAGCCAGCAGCTCCTCTCGAAGTGCACCAGAGGGACTGTGTCGGTGTCCTCCACGTGCTCAGCCGGTGCCACCTCCCGGGGCCGAAACTAGTGCTGCCTGAGCCGTCCGAAGTCCCAACACGCTCAGCCCTGCACCTGGCCGCCGTTGTCGGTCACACCCTTTCCACACACCAAAGGGATGACCTGACCGATTATTACTTAGAAACAGCAGGATGAAATCGAACATATCCGACTTCCTGGCCTCCTTCTTCTGGCTCACCGTCACCCGGATCAGGCTCTCAGGCAAAGGCAAGGGCACGTTCGGCAGCACCTCAGAAACGATTCCCTATCCCCAACTCCGTCATTAAACTTTGCTCCCAGACGTATCTCAGTCCGAGACAGGACAGGCGGTGCTCACCACGCCATCACTCGCCAGCCATTTGTGCTCTTTGGCAGGCAGCGGCTCAGACTTGCACCCGAAGTACATTGTCTCCCTGGCCCCGGCGATGCTGATGAGACTTCCAGCGGTTCCCGTCTTCCGCCGTTTGCAGTTCCTCTCCTCCCTGGAAGCATGAACTGCAGTCAAACACAAGAACAGACGGCCAAGCCAAAAAAGGAAACTGCAGTCAAACACAAGAACATGCGG